TAAAAGGAAAAGGAACTTTCAGACGTGTTTGTAACTGTTAGCGTTAGCATACATTAGCTCCAGTCGTGTTTCTTAAAGCAAGTTACATTTCGTATCAAACTGTTTTAAATTACTAAACGCTGTTACAACCAAACACCGTGGAAATGTTTTAAGCTCTAAATTCGCTAATTATACAGTACACAAGCAGTAAAAAGCTTACCTTTCTGACCGGAATCCACATGGAATCTTTGAAAAATCAAACTTTTTCTTCTTGTGATCTTCGTGCCATGGTGGTTGACAACCAGCTTGTTGGAGCATTACCGCCACCGTCTGGATTGGAGTTTGGATCATGAGTTTAGTAACGCATGTGTTTATTATGAAACCAACTTCTGCTTTAAAAAAAAAACAGTCAGCACAGGAGCGTGCTATCTCAAAAATAAGCGAATTTTACATAGTTTTTCTCTGGATGACATGTATAATCTATTTATAAATAATATTGTTTTGTTTGCGTCTAAACATTGAGACCATCCACACTAAATATTCTTTTTTTTTTTTTGCTATCGTACCATGAATATTTTCTCAAATTATCATTAAACGTGGAGCTAACAGATTACTAGATAAAATAAGAACTTAATCGGTTGCCTTCAGCCGAGTCCTTGCCAGAAGCGGCCAGGACTCTACAGACAGACTCGGACCGGATATGGTTGACCGGAATCGGGCCAGTGCTTTACAGCCGCATCACAGCCGCATGTGCGCGAGCGAGGTGCGGGCCGCACTCGGCCCGGATAACACTCGCCGATGCCGAGTCGGAGCCGGAGGGGCCGGAGGGCAGCCGAGCTCGGGCCGATTACTGCCTGCTATCTGGGTACAGTTTATGAGTTCACTAATACTACAGTAAGCTCAACGAGTTGTAAATATTATATGTACAGTATAACACACACTTTAGTATGATTAAAAAAATACTATAAAGTGATCTTTCCGTGTTTTATTTACATTAACGCAAGAAGCGTAACCCAAACAAATCAGTCAATACACTTTACTGTACCATGTTTCAAGACGCTATACATTTACTATAACTTACTATGGTATTTTCTTACACGTAGGCCTATCCCAGAAATCTTAGGGGATCTCAGTTTTGCGTGAATATCGCCTTTCTGCGTGTACTCCTTATTTATTAACGTAAACAGCGTAACCGACAACAACAGAAAATCACGAGCACGGAAAGGCATGACGCGTTTATAAAGTGAATAACAGCAGGAGGTAAATTAGAGAAAGCTCTATAAACACATCATGATTAACAGCACGACAGGGAAACGTGTTGAAATAGTACATATCGTCTGGTCTGTGTTGTAAATGAATACTTTATATACTCACTGTAGTGCGCTGATGCTGTGTGTCCTGGTGTCGCTTTCACTTTCGGTTTTGCTGAAACTGAGTTCAGTCAAACAGCAACTCACTCCAGCTCCACTGTAAACTCGCTGTACACTCTACAGGTAACAGATGAACTCACCTGTCCAGTGTGTGTGTGTGTGTGTGTGTGTAGGTGTGGGTGGGTGTGTATGGGTGTGTGTCTGTCCGCGCTGCTGATATCGGTGTGTGTATGTGTGTGTGTCGTTTCTCTGAAGCTCAAAGTGAAAGTGAGTCCAGATCAGCAGCTCTTGCTGAACACACACTCCGCCATTGTGTTTTCCTGCTCTAACAGATTCACTGATCAGCCTTTTTTTATTTATCTCCAGCCTTTCGTCACGTGACGCAATTTTATTTCCCTTTTCAGCCACCAGGTGGGGCTGTTACTAGAAGGGATACAGCTGCGGCCGATAGTTAACCAGAGTTCATTCATTCATTCATTTCCTCTTCAGCTTAGTCTCTTTATTAATCCGGATCGCCACAGTGGAATGAACCGCCAAATTATCCAGCATTTTTTTTATGCAGTGGATGCCCTTCCAGCTGCAACCCATTACTGGGAAACACCCATACACTGTCATTCACACACACATACACTACTTAACTTACATTTTTAGTAAAAGTAATTAAATGATTTATTTATCAACTATTTAGTTTATGTTTTTTCCTACAATATTTCCACAGACCCCCAGATCAGCTTTGCAAAGTCTAGAAGGGATACAGCTTTAGTCCCTTTAATTATCGGGGTCGCCACAGCGGAATGAACCGACAACTTATCCAGCATGTTTTTACGCAGCTGATGCCCTTCCAGCTGCAACCCATCTCTGGGGAAGATATCACCTTTCTAGCATATTTTTTGTGTCTCTGTACATCAATAATTACTGATTTACATTACTCTGAGGGTTGGGTTTACAGTCGGGGTTGGAATAGACGTGAATAAAATACAGTTTACTGTTAATTGAATAAATAATATAAATTATTAACTTCAGGCCGTAGCTGTATCCCTTTTAGCAACAGCCAACATAAACCCCTTAGCAAAGTGATCCAGACGGGTTTCCTAGCAACGTCAGCGCTTACTTATTAATATTCATAATAATCATTCACTCACAGATCTGACAGAGGAGCACACTTTTTGTGACAGTTGTCTTTATTAAGCACAAGAGGGCGCCAAACTCCACAGTTTAATCATCAACTTTAAAAAGAAAAAAAAGCGTAACTAATGAGGTATTTGGTGTCCGCATTGACGTTCAGTTCACTTAAAGGGACAGTACATGAATAAATAAATAAATCAATAAATAAATCAAATATGTCGTCATTTACTCTTCCTCCAGTTTGTTACAAACCTGTCTGACTTTCTTTTTGTCTGTTTAACACAAAATAGATATTTATAGGAACAACAAACGTTGTCATAATGTGTTGTTACTACTGAAGTCAATGGTTACCGGTTTTCAATAGTCAATAAATAGTGAGGAATATGTCATTTTTAAGTGAACTGTGCCTTTAAGATGATGGCTCATTCACCTCAAAGCAAGAAGGTCTCTGGTTTGAGTCTCAGCTGGGTCAGTTGGTGTTTCTGTGTGGAGTTTGCATGTTCTCCCCGTGTTGGTGTGGGTTTTCGGGTGCTCCGGTTTCCCCCACAGTCCAAACACATGCGCTATAGGGGAACTGATCAACTAAATTGTCCGGAGTGTGTGTGTGTGTGTGTGTGTGTGTGTGTGTGTGTGTGTGTGTGTGTGTAAATGAGTGTGTATAGATGTTTCACAGTAATAATTTACGGCTGGAAGGGCATCTGCTGTATAAAACATATATGCTGCATATATTGGTGATTCATTCCACTGTGGCAACCTCAAATTAATAAAAGGACTAAGCTGAAAATGAATGAATACACATTCGACACATTGGCTCAGTGGTTAGCACTGTGGCCTCACAGCAAAACATATGCTGCAGTAGTTGGCGGTTCATTCCGCTGTGGCGACCTCTGATAAATAAAGGGACTAAGCTGAAGGTAAATTAATGAATGAATAAATTATTGAATATTTAAAATGGTAAAAGAATAGAATTTCTGATAATCAGTGTTGGGTCAGATATGGAGATGCCCGATGCTGGGTCAGATATTTTCAATTCAGTTTAAATTAGCTCTTCACTTTTTAACCCCATGGTTGGGTTTATCCATTGTTTACCCATGAACTATTGAATCCATATTTTACCTACATTTTACTCAGTGTTCATGATTCTTCAGAAATCAGTTTAATATGATCATTTGATGATCAATAAATATTTATGATTATTATTATCAGTGTTGAATACTTGTGTGTCATGTGTTCATTCATTCATTTACTTTCAGTTTAGTCCCTTTATTAATCAGGGGTCACCACTGCAGAAAGAACCACTGAATATTCCAGCATATGCTTTACACAGCGGATGCCCTTCCAGTTGCAACCCAGTAATAGGAAACACCCATACACACTCATTCACACACACACACACACACACATACACTGCGGCCAGTTTAGTTGATCAGTTCCCCTATAGCGCATGTGTTTGGACTGTGGGGGAAACCGGAGCACCCGGAGGAAACCCACACCAACACGGGGAGAACATGCAAACTCCACACAGAAACACCAACTGACCCAGCCGGGACTTGAACCAGTGACCTTCTTGCTGTGATGTGATCATGCTACCCACTGTGCCACCGTGCCGCCTGTGTAATGTGTAATAAATGTTGATTGACAGATTCTCAGAAAGTTCAGGAGTGTAACAGGACCTCTAGAACATCATACACGTCTGTATTCTCACTGAGCTGCTGGCTTGTTTTTAACTCAGTGTTGGGTCAGTCTCAGTTCTGGCTACACTTTTTTAATTGCGTTTAAATGGTTGTCTATATTTTACCCAACGTTATTGTTTTTTTTTTTAAGTGTGTGTGAGTGTGAACCACAGAGCGCTCGTGAGTGTCAGCTCACACACTCTCTTCAGCTTTCTCTGATTTTCATCTAATTATGAGTGTGTGATGAAGAAGACAGACAGACACAACGTCCTCTTCAATCTCGCTGACATGGCTCGCAGTGTCTGTGTGAGTTATGACACATGCACACACACACGCACACACACATTTATTTATATATACATATATATATATATATATATATATATATATATATATATATATATACACACACTCACACACACACACACACACACATACAATCATGCACAAATATACACAAGAGCATACACACACACACTTATGTATATACACACACACACATGCAGAAAGATTTACACACACAGACACACATATACATACACTAATACACAAACACACACACACTCACAAACTCACTCAATTATACAAACACATGTAAACAAATACATTCACACAAACAAACACACACTCATTCAAACTCACTGTGTGTTTGTGTGTGTGTGTGTGTGTATGTATGTATGTCTCCATGCATGCATGTATGCACGCCTGTGTGTGTGTGTGGGGGGGGGTGTATCTATGTTTTTATATATGTGTGTGTGCGTGCGTGTTTGTGTATGAATGTATGTATGTGTGTGTCTGTAAATTTTTCTGCATGTGTGTGTGTGTGTGTGTGTGTGTGTATGTGTGTGTATATATTAAAAAGTGTGCGTGTGTGTGTGTGTTCGTGTGTGTGCGTGTATGCTTGTGTGTGTGTGTTTGTTTGTCTATTGTGTATGAGTGTATGTATATGTGTGTCTGTGTGTGTAAATTTTTCTGCATATGTGTGTGTTTGTGTGTGTGTGTGTGTGTGTGTGTGTGTGTGTGTGTGTGTGTGTGTATATATATATATATATATATATATGAAAGTTTGTGTGTATGTGTGTATGCTTGTGTGTATATTTATGCATGTGTGTGTGTGTGTGTGTGTGTGTGTGTGTGTGTGTGCGTGTGCATGTTTGTTTGTGTGTGTGTGTGTGCATGTGTGTGCGCGTGCGTGTGTGTTCAGGCAGTGCATGTTCTCAGTGTTCCTCCTCCTCCTGTGCTGCTGCTGTTATTGTGGGTCAGTCTCTGCTCTGGAATGTTCTCCTCAGTTCAGCAGAATCACTGCATTGGAATGCTGCTCGCGCCGCCAAACAACAGTGTTGACTTAAAGGGGCAGTTCACTCTGAAATCACCAATCCCTCATCATTTACCCACACTTTACACCTTACAAACCATCACGAGCTTCTCTCTTCTGTAAAACAACACAAGAAGATATTTTGAAGAATGCTGGAAACCTGTAACCATCGCCTTCCATTTGCCACAGAAGTCAATGGTTACCGGTTTTCAGCATTCTTCAAAATATGTTCTTTTGTGATCAACAGAAGAAAGAAACTCAGAAATGTTTATAACCGCTTGAGAGAGAGTAAAAAGTGAGTAAATATACATTTTTTAGTGAGCTGTTCCTTTAAAAGGCCAGAAATGGAGCCGGACTGGAGCTGTGTGCGCTCCTGCTGCCAACATCAAGCCGAAAATCAGCAGATCACAGACGCTGAGGGTTTCCTCTCTCCTCCAGCACTGTTTGTCTGCTCATTAAAGGGGCAGTTCACCCAAACATTACAGTTCTGTCATCATGTACGCGCTCCTTACTTGTTCCAAACCTGAGTTTCTTCCTTCTGATGAACACTAAAGAAGAAAGTCACACCACAGGACATATTTATAGGGTTAGTTCACACGGAAATGAGAAGTGACGCAGTATTCATCCTCCTTCAAGTGTTTTAAACCTTAATGAGTTTCTTCCTTCTATTTAGAAAAACAAAAGAAGATATTTTGAAGAATGGTGAAAACCGGTAACCATTGACTTCTATACTGGGAAAGAGATATACTATGAAAGTCAATAGTTACAGGTTTTCAGCATTCTTCAAAATATCTTCTTTAGTGTTCAACAGAAAAATATGATTGTTTATCATTTTCATTCATTCGCTTTCCTTCTGCACTGTTGCCTCACAGCAAGAAGGTCTCTAGTTCGAGTCCACTGCTGGGTCAGTTGCTTTTGTTCAGACTGAAAATGACGTGATCATATTTGCTCGTCATATTTCTGTGGTGCTTAAAAATACAGTTCACTTAGAAATATTGATGCAAAAATAAATGTCTTTTACTCTTTACTTCTTCCAAACCTGAAAGAATTTAGACAACCGGTAACCACTGACTTCCATTGTATTTGTTTGTTCTACAAAAGAAGTCAATGGTTACCGGTTTCCAACATTCTTCAAAATATCTTCTTTTGTGTTCAACAGAAAAAGAAACTCATAAAGTTGTAAAGCAAGTCAAATATGGCAGTAAAGTTTGCTGAAACACCTTCAATGATGCGGTGTGTCGAGTATTAGCAGGT